TCTGCTGCTGGAACCATTTCATTTAGAACAGAGCTCTGAAGGGTTAAAGATAAAGTCCCAAGTGTTAGAATCTCAGTACCAGATGAAGACTGTGCTGAAGGCTGTAGGACAGTGTGACGTGGCCATTTATTTGGGGAAACACTCAATGTAAAACTAGCACATGGCATTATCATGGGAAGTGCACATACCAACATAGACCTGGATTTAGACTAAAGACCCAACACTTCTCAGCTGGGTGGCCTTGGACTTAAACTTTGACCTTGGACAAAGATTTAACTGGTAAGAACAGATACTACACTTGATCTTAGCCAGAAGGCCAAGAAGCGATAGACAAAGATTAAATATACTATTTGATCCTTCTGATTTTCAGTTTTCCTTCTGGAAAAAGAAGACGCTAACTGGGTTGTGTTGAGGTTTAAACAAGAGCAAGAGAACCCCTCCCCACCGAGTCTCTGCTCTCTGGACCTCAGCCCCCTGTGACATGTGTCTTTCATGCTCTTTGCCTTTAACCTGTCCTTTTCTGCTTCACATTTACTTTATTCTTCAAATAACCACAGTACAGAAGTAAAGAATATTTAAAAATATTGGTATTAATCAAATACCTCTACATATTGCCCTGGTCAGTTTGGCGCAGTGGTTAGAGCGTCGGCCTGCGGTCCAGAGAGACCTGGGTTCAGTCCTGTTAAGGGTGTGTACCTCAGTTGCAGTTTGTCCCCAGCCCCAGTTGGTCGTGCGGGTGGCAACCACTTGATGTGTCCCTTTCACATCGATGTTTCTCTCTCTCTCTCTCTCTCCCTCCCTTCCTTTCCTCCTTCCCTCCCTCCCACTCTATCTGAACAAAAAGTGGAAAAATGTCCTCGGGTGAGGATTAAAAAAAAATTTACATATTATTTTTATTAATCTTTAAAAACATTTTTGTTTTGAAATATTCCATGTCCAAAAGTAAAAATCAGTAACTTTTTAGAAATGTGCCTAGGTTTGGGGCAGGTTGTGGGGTTGGCTTTAACCTCTTGTAAGTGAATGACCTTTATAACTAAAAGGATCCCCTACCTTTGTGTTCGGGCTGGGTCTTGAGCAATTTTTTTTTTTATGTTCGAGCCAAAATCATAGTTTTCCTTGTGATAGTTACATCATCTCTCCATTCATGCCAGCTTTGTGGTGTGTAGAATGTAAAAGTAAGTGTTACATTTGCTTGGACTAAGGTAGCACTGGACCAGAGGTCAACCTTGCTGGGGTGGAAGATCAGAGATGGGAGGAGATGCAGGGACCAATCTTGTCAGGGACTTTGGACCAAGCTCTGACAGTATAGGGTCTTCCCGCAGGTCCTCACGTTATCATCTGGGGTTTGGGCAGCCAAGAGTCATCATTAAAATTGTGGCTTCAAGGGCACCTGTTCTCGTCACAGTCATCTTGAGACAGTTTATATCACATTTTTCTGCAGTTGTCCATGATGTAAGTAAGACCTCCGGAGGGAAACTGTGAATTCTCATGTTTGTTCCAGCCCCACCTTCATGTACCCATTCTTTGAGAGCTGGTTATGTAGCAGGCACAGTGTTCGTGGTACCCGGATGAGTGGATTCCAAGCCTCACCCTTACTGGGCTAAGTGTGCAGTGAGAGACTTACCTGCAAACAAGCGCTGAGGGACTGTGTTCCGTGGGGTGTCCGCAGGCACCTTGAGAGCTCAAAGGGGGCAGGCCTGGCTCTTGGCTATTGGAGGGGAAGAAATTCCTTCAGGGGAGGTGACATTTGTGCAGAACCTTAAAGGCCGAGGTGTTGATGGCCTGGCTGCTAGCCCCAGCTCTGCGTGTGCGCCGACCTTCCTTGCTCGCTGACTCCCAGCAGTGCCTCATCTCTGACGTGGGAAGACGGCACCCACCTTTCCTGCCGTGGAAGTGAGGTCACAGTGAGACGGCTTCTGGGGATGCACACCTGTCTGCAGGCCCTTCCTCGTGCCCCAGCACGCGCCTACCGGATGCTGGGTCTGCCGGGGTGCAGGGTTCAGTATGTGGCCGTGCACTTCTGATGTGTCCTCCTTAGAAGAGTGTAACTGTGTCCTTTCGGTCATGACCCTGACTTTCTTCTTTGACGAAACGGTTTGTCATTAGAATCTGATTATCTGGAAATCCTCATTCTTTATCTTGCAAGCTGTGTGACTAGCAGAGGTCACTTCGTCCCAGGTTTCTTCTCTGTAAAAGAAAGATGATGATAATAGGACCTATGGTATAGGGTGGCCGCGAGGATTAAAGGACATAATTTATACAGAGTACCTGGGACGTAGTGATGACTCTTTCAGTTAAGATTATTGGGACTGAGAGAGTCACCCAGAAAGGGTCACAGAGAATCAGGAAAAGGCTCCTGCGTGGCCACTTTTTGTGGTTGCTCCTGCTGTGGTTGAAGTCAGTGTACCCACGTAGCACCCTGGCTGGTTGATAGAGGATGACCCACTGTGTTTTCCCAGGTTATGGACAGTGCCGTAGTTGAGACTGGATGCATTCTTTATTACTACTCTGCATTCAAAAATACTGGAATATTATTCAAGCTTTAAAAAGGAGGCAAATTCGGACATATGCTACAGTGTGGATGAAGCTTGAAGACCTTATGCTAAGTTAAGTAAGCCAGTCACAGAAAGAAATACTGTGTGATTCCACGTCTACAAGGCAACTAGTTTCCAGAGAGAAGAAGCTGAGTGGTGGTTGCCGGTGTATGTTGGGGGGTTGTTTCATGGGAATGGAGTTTCAGTTCTCTCGGATGTCGAGTTCTGGAGATTGCACAATAGTGTGAGTGTACTCAGTACTACTGAACTGGACACTGAAAAATGGTTAACATGGTGAATTTTTGTCTATTTTACCACAATTGTTTTAAAGCTTATTGAGCATGCGCCAAGCATTAGACACAATTCCTGGTATGAGGAGAGACTGTGAGTGAAAACAAATGTGTCCCCGTCACTCCTTATGGAACTTACAGGCGCATAGGGGAGACACATGTCAAAAGAAGAGTGACGTTAATGGACAAAAGTACAGGAACAGGTGCTACAAAGAGCGGTTCATGGTACCATGAGAACCTAGAATACAAAGACTTGACCCGGAGAGGGAGGCCAGGCCAAGAGCAAAGGTGAGGAGGATGAAGGGAGACCTTGCTAAGAATGTGCAGGTCATGTGCCAAGGTTGCAAGGAGGAAGGGTCTGAAAGGGTCGCTGGAGTGCAGAGGGCAGGAGCAGGTGTGGTGAGAAGTGGCTGGTGAGAACGGAGGGGCCAGACACACAGCCTGCTGGCCATACTAAGTTGTCTCTTTCTGAGCAGAGCGGGAACTCATTTGAGGGTTTTAAGCTGAGGATAAAGAGACAGACAGAAAAGCGGGTTTGTGTTTTGAAAAATATCCATCTGAAGGGACACTTTTTCTTACAAGGAAATATCACATACTGGGAGTTCTATCAATTATCCATATAACTGAAAAGAAGTCCCTTAAGTGTTTCTCAGGGCCCTGATTTCAGTACAAATGGTGACCCATGTCCCATAGGTCTTGTAGTTATAGGTTATAATCAAGCTAACAAACAGTTATCAACATGTTCTTTTTTCCCCACCCTGACAAACATGCCTCTATACTTAAAATGTTGGAAAGGATATGTACAACTATGGGTTGTTTTTATGACTAAGAATTAAGGAAGTATCAAAGAATTTAATGTAATTATAAATGCATTGTCTGGGTGTTCTGTTGAGTCAATGAGATGTTTGAGTAATAAAGATTTTATAATTAATAAATTATTTCCTATTCCATAATGTTTGTCTTCTTTATTTAAAAAAATCACTAATTTTGTTGTTCTAGTGAAGAGTTTTGTATTCTTTTGACAGAAATAGGCAACTTTCCTTACTTTGCAACAGCTTTATTGAAACATAATTTGCATGCCATACAACCCCAACATTCGAAGTATATAACTGCTCTTGAGTTATTTTAGTTCTGAGATAGGTTCTCATCATTTTGATATGAAATGATGCCCTCCTGAAGGCATGTCAACCTGCATTGTTAACAAAGTTTGAAATGCAGTACTTAGATTTGAAAATGAACCACATACATTTAACATACCATGTTCCAAACATGACAATGGGATTTCATACAATAAATTATCACAGAAAATATTAGAATATTTATTGGAATAATCCCACCATATAAATCTTTATCACCTAGATAACAACTTTTACTGTCTGTTCAAGCAATATCTCAATCTAATATTGATGGACAGTCCCGGCATCATGTATCCCCATGTTCTGTCTGGACATCTGTACAAATGAAGGGCAGTAGAAATGATCTGATACTCTCAACTGTTCCTAGACTGCCAGGTGCAGAGATTAGAGGACATCTGAACTACAACTTGGAATACGAGGAGGAGCAAGAATGTAGACACTTGGTACAATAGGGCTGGTGCTTCATCGTGCAAGGATCAACTGTATTCATGTGTCTGAAGGGATGGAATTGACAAGTTAATTAGCCTTTTCTCTTGCCCTGGTGTTCCTGCTGCTCACACCCTCCCTGCACTCTGACGGGGCTCGTTACTGCCCCTGCCGGATCAGCAGAGGGGAATCCTTGGGTGCCTGGGGCTTTCAGACACAGTTGCCAGTTGTTCTGAGGACTTAGGGCACGAGAGATAGGGGAGCAGTTCCCTGGGGCCTCAACAGTGTTAGTCCCAAGAGCTGATGCTTATGATTGCTCCAAGTGACACAGACACTCATGTGTCCTTAATTAATTTGTGTGTGTGTGTGAGAGAGAGAGAGAGAGAGAGAGAGAGAGAGAGAGGCTGATTGATGATAGATCATTGATTTCAGACCTTCTAAAGCGCAGTCTCCCGGACAGAGACCGCTCTGCCCAGCATTTGACGGGCCTTTTCCAAGTTCACCCCGTTACCTGTTCATCGTGATGTGGACCACCTCTGCCAGGAGGGCCTCTCTCTCTGTGTGTTCCTTTGGAAGACTGCTGACTGTGTTTCTCACTTGTTTTCTCTCATTAGGAACCGGTGAAAGTGGCAAAAGCACCTTTATCAAGCAAATGCGAATTATCCATGGGTCCGGTTACAGCGATGAAGACAGAAAGGGGTTCACGAAGCTGGTTTACCAAAACATATTCACCGCCATGCAAGCCATGATCAGAGCCATGGACAACCTGAGGATCCAGTACACCTGTGAGCAGAATAAGGTAAAGCGCAGCAGGGGCCTTGGCCCTGTTTGCGAGCACACGCTTTCCGACTCTGGTGAGCAGATGTTTCTGAGCAAAAAGATTCACCGAGCGCTTTGGTCAGAGGCAGAAGCAGCTCTTGCGCTCCAACTCCAGAGAAGCGTGGCGGATGTAGTCTGCCCTGCGCTCTTGCGTATGCAGGCGTTCTAGCACAGAGGTGGTGGGCAGGGATTTAGGACTGTGGGCAGTTATTTAGTTTGCTGATTTCAGGCAGAGAAAAGCAAGACATACCCATTTTCTCTTCCAGCTAAAATACCCAGTTAGTTTTTCAGTGGAGCAACAGAGACCTTGGGTTTATAAGAGCTAACTTTTCAGAATTTCCAGTCTTCGGAAATATTTTCACAAATGCGCCACAGACTACTCAGAGAAAGCAGTGGGTTCTGTTTGTTTATTTGGGAACTAGCCCTTCTTGGATGGTAAGTGATAGCATATGAGAGTGGTGCTTATATCCAAGTAGTGGCTGACTCTGATAAAGCAATGGTATCCAGCCCACACTGGCTTTCCTATCACCAGTGGTCATTTAAAATACAAATCTGTGGAAGACCACAGGAAATAATGAGGCGGGGTGGCGGGAGGAGGAGACAAATAACATTTCATGTGGTATATTGGAATGCAAATCTATTGGAAAATGCTATGTCTGAGTTCATTAGGAATCTGGATTAGCAATATAATTTATTTAAAATTATACCAAATACAACATGACATGATAAAGAGAAAAATTCTGTGTAAGATGAGCGTCTCATGGATCTATTAACTGCATGGCTTTACTGTAGACCCCAAGGACAACTTTATCATGAACGGGCAGCACCTAGTATTTGCGGATATTGTGTGTATGTATGTATAGATAGATAGATAGATATAGATAGATAGATATAGATATATAATATACCAAGATTTTCAAAGCAATCAATCAAAATTTTTTATTTCTCAGTGACTGGGTTACATAGCAAAACACAGCAGGCACCGAATTTTAGATTACTTTTACATCTTGTCTGCAAATTTGTGTCTACTACCATTTCCTTGCGGTCTTGAAGAAATGAAGGAATGTGTTTAGCCTATAGCTTCAACTTTCAAAAGTGTTATACTGAACAGTGTGTGTGTTCGGGGGGGAATAGCCTTTAACATATCTGATGCCAAGTAAGGCACCAGGTGCAAACAGCCACTGGGAGATTCTAGAGGTGACTCTGATGGTTCTTCTACACATTGGTTTTGAGCTCATGCTTTCTATTTTTTGAAACTATGCCACTCTTATATAGATATACGTGTGTGTGTGTGTGTGTGTGTGTGTTTATTGATTTTTTCAGAGAGAAGGAAAGGGAGAGAGATAGAAACATCAATGTTTCCAGAGAAACACCTATCAGCTGCCTCCTGCACGCCCCCTGCTGGGGATCGAGCCCGCAACCCGGGCATGTGGCCTGAGCTGGCATCGAACAGGGACAGCTTAGTCCATGGGAGGACGGCTCAGTCCATGGGAGGACGCTCAGTCCACTGAGCCACACCAGCTGGGCTGTGCCATTCTTTTTTAATCACCCTGTATGGAGTATTTTAAAAATGAGGCCATCTGTGAACATGTAGGACTAAAAGAGGTATGTCAGGAACATTCTTGTGGTTTAGTTCATCTCTTTTTTTCTGTTCTAAAATGCATTTGTTTCTCCGTCATAGTAGGGCGACCGGGGAAAGCTTGGACTTTAGGGATGGGTTTGTAAACAGACCTAATGGGAGGAAACTGCTCAAGTGTAAGCCAGCCCTGCTTACCTTGGCAACGTGTGTGGAGAACCCAATCAGATTTGGTCATCCAGATCTCTGGGTTTTTGTTTAGTTCTGTCAAGGTCTTCCCTCTAGTGCTACTTGGAGAGTTTACGTTTCGAACCAAAAGGTTTTATGGGGTTTCTCCTTTTCCCTTGATCTTAATTATTTTTCATCAGGCCATGTCCATGTGCCCACTATGTTAGTTCCCACAGCTGCTGTAACAAAGTACCTCGAACTGGGTGGCTTAGAAGAGAAATTCGTGTGGCAACAGCTCTGCAGTCTAGAAATCTGACATCGAGGTTGGTTAGTTCTGGGGAGGCTCTGAAGGAAACTGTTCCCTGCCCTCTCCTAGCTCCTGTCATTGCTGGTGACCTTTGCTGTCCCTTCCAGTCTCTGCCGCTGTCTTCACACAGAGTTCTCCCCTGTGTGTCTCTGTGTCCCCCATTCTCCTCTCTGTCTGTGTCCAGATTTTCTTCTTATAAGGACACCAGTCATTGGATGTACCTTGATTACATCTACAAAGACCCCATTTCCAAACATAGTTACTTTCTGAGGTTGAGGTGTGCATGAATTTCAGAGGGATGCTGGTCAACTCAGTAGAATCTGCCCCCTTCTTCATGTCTATCCCACAAGCAAAATATTGCCCCCCATTCCAATAGTCCCCAAAGTCTTAACCATCCCAGCATCAACTCTGTCTCACAGCTAATCTAAGCATCCACTCACAAGGTCCCAAATCTCATCATTTAACTCATCTGAATCAGGTATGGGTGAGCTTTGGGGTTTGGTCCGTCCTGGAGCATATTCCTCTCCTTCCACAGACCTGTGAAACTAGGAAGCAAGTCCGTTGTACGTCCTGTCTCCTCCTCGCTTGCTGCGTCTGGCTCCGTTCTCGGCGCTTCTCTCTTTCCACTTCGAGTAGCTGCTTTCATGCTTCCTAACCGTCCTCTTACCCTCACACATATGCCTGGGATGGACCACATGCTGAATGCTGTAAAGGAAGGCAAAGATTAAGTAGAAAGAACATTGGATTGGTTCCTAAAAATCTGGGCTCTGCTCAGGGCTCCCCCGTGGGTCTTAGGCAGGAGTCAGCAAACTTTTTCTGTAAAGGGCCGGAGAGGAATCGTTTTGGCTTTGGGAGGCTACACGGTGTCTCTGGCAGCTGCTCAGCTTTACTTTTGCAGCGTAAACGCAGCCGTGGGCGGAGCGGAAACAAATGAGTAGGACTCGCTGGTGAACTCTGGGCGCAGTGTAAAAGCGACGCTTACCTCATGGTGCGTAAGACACAGCCGTGGCCCCAGCTCCCGGCCTCGTCCTAAGGGAACCGAAGCACCTGCCTGGTCTGCATTTCTCCATCCACGCAATGGAGCCCACACATGCTTGTCCACTCTGTAAGACAACACGAGCAAAAGGAGTGCTGCTGTGGAAATCAAGGGGCACTGGAGAAATAAGGTTATTATTGGGGCAAGTTTGAAAACCAAACACTGACTCACTTTTCTCCTGTGACTTGTTTAGGTCATCTGCATCCATTCCTTCTCTATTGCCTTCTGAATAATTGCCTCTGCGGACTAAAACTGGTTTCTAAACATGAAACTGTAACAACCATACTCATTTAAGTCACAACGTGATAAAAGGATTAGTGTTCCGATAGTGTTAAGTAATTAAAGAAGCGTGGTATGCACTGTTATCTTCTGTACAGAGTGTTGCATCCCTTGAAACAATCAATTAGCACAGACAGGGACAAACGAAGCCTCCACTGGCTCTTCTTTTCACAGTGGTGTATCACTTCCCTCAGTTCCTCTTTGCTGCAATTTTAGTTTGATTATCTGATTTTTGTTCAGAGCTGGGAACACTTTCTTTAAAGTATGGATAAGGAAATAAAAAGTGATTTTGGAGGTTTTTACAATTTTGAAATGTTAGCAAGATGATTGCTCAGCTAGGCTGTTGAAAACCTTGACCGATTACGAATAGGCTGCTTATGAAAGAAAAATGATCAGTTTAGTTCAGTATTCGTTTTTTAACCAATATACATTTTTTTAACTAAGATATGGCCTTGAGCCCTGGCCAGTTTGGCTCAGTGGTTAGAGCGTCGTCCCGCAGACCAAAGAGTCATGGGTTCAATTCCGGTCAAGGGTACGTACCTCGGGTGCGGTCCGGTCCCTGGCCCTGGTAGGGGTCGTGCGGGAGGCAACCACTTGATGTGTCCCTCTCATGTCCATATTCCTCTCTCTCTCTCCTTCGCACCCTGTCTGAAAATACATGGAAAAATATCCTTGGGTGAGGATTTAAAAAAATAGATAAAGCCTTGAAGAATATTTTCTTCTTCCTTTTCTGCTTTTCTTTTTAAGGAAATGATTCGTATGTATTTGTTCACTCTGTTGATAAGCCTTGATTTTACGAATGTCTCTCAAGTGTGGTGTGAGCACATTAGAACTCGGGACTTCTTGAATACGCAGTCCAAAGGCCTGTGCCCAGCAACAAGGCTCCTGAGTGTGCGTTAACTTATGCTCATGCTTACAAGTCATGACTTTGGTGCAGCCCGAAGAACATGTTCTGGCTGTTTGTAGTGTCTCCAACTTGGAAAATTCTTATTCTAGGCCTGTCCTAGAAGAACATCCTTTTGATCCCCTTACAAGTTTTGCAGAAACTTCTGGGATGATTTAGACATAGAATGTCCCAAGGGCAAAGGACAGCCTGCCTGCCTTCTCAAAAGCCTTCTAGTTCTGTGTTGGGTGGTCCCTAGAGAAAGGAATTAGGTCTTTTATAGGCTGTCTGGGCCGCAGACCCCAGCTTCTCCCTGGACCCTTTGCTTTGGGGAGCTCTTTACTACACTGGGGTCACGTCATATTTGCATATAAGTTACACATTTAATTGCAGGGACTCATCACAAAAGCAAAACCAGCATTTTTTAAAAGGAAAGTTACTAATCAAACAATTCTCTGCCTGCCAATCCACTCCAGGCACCCCATTTGGGATTCGGTGCTTCCAGAAGTGTGAGGCGTGACACTCCCACCGAAGATCATCTTACTCGGTTAGACGCCTTTGCTGATCCCAAGTCACAGCTGAGGAGGTCGGCTTGGACCATCCAGCCAACCGCCCAGCTCAGGCTGAATGTTGGGGTTGAGTGGACTCAGAAGGTCTCCCCAGGTCTGTTTGAGGTTTGGCAGGTTCTCTATTTGGCAGAACAGATGCCGTTGTCATCAGTTCCCTGTGGT